AGCAGGAAGGTATTAGTGGGCTTCCCACTTGTTGTAGTCAGCTTGTAAGGATACTCATAGGAAGATACACTTTCCTATTTAATCCTCACACAATCTTCACATGTTTAGGCTGCCCTGACTTCCTTCAAGCGTGCATAATTAACACCTGAGACTATGTATGAAAGTCTCACCAACTTAAAATTGTTTCATATAACAAATTTCATTTGCAGCCTTTAAACAAAGAACATTCACTCCAAAAAGAGTGAACACCAGTACTGATACCACCTTAGCTACTTGTAAACCCTATAACTGTGTTCTGACAGCTATCAGATATTAACTCATTCATTTCATTTTGCTTGGTTTCTTCTTTAGTCTCATGGTTGGGGTGTTGTTTTTGATTTCCAGCTCTTTTAGACCTTCTGAGGAAAAATTTTGTCAGTAAGTAACATAATTCAGCCACATTTAAAAGAATGCAAATGCTGGACACAGCAATCATGAAAATAGTGAACACCGTCTTTTCAGTAGGTCGAGAAACAAAGCAGTCTACTGTGTTGGGGCAGGGCCAAGCATTACACTTCATTAAGCGAGGCATTCGGAACCCATCATACATGAAATAAAATGCATACATAAAGACTGCTTCAAAGACCAGTCTGAAGAAGATGCTGCTGGTGTACGTCCACCACAAAGAGCCCTCGATACGAAACCTCTGTTGTCTGATTTCTTCAATGTCCTTGTATTCACATTTCTGGTCTCCCTTTCTGAACTGCCTCTTCTTCTCGTGCCTCCTGTAAGCTACATGCATGGCCACCAGCAATGCAGGTGTGGAAACAAAGATCAGCTGCAGGGCCCAGAGTCTGATGTGAGAGATGGGGAAAAAGTGGTCATAGCAAACATTCTTGCAACCAGGTTGCAGAGTGTTGCAGATGAAGTCATCTTGTTCGTCTCCCCAGACCCTCTCTGCAGCCACAACCAGGATCATGATGCGGAAGATGAACAGTACTGTGAGCCATATCTTCCCGATGCTGGTGGAGTGCTTATTGACCCCTCCTAAAATGGTGTGCAGAGCTCCCCAATCCATTGTCTTGTTCTACTCGTCTGACCTAAGAGAAATAAACAAAACTTAGATAACCAAGACCAGAAACAAATGCCATCAAGCATGTGGAATAACAAAGGCACTATCATATAATTGCAGTATATCCATTGGCTGTGGTCACATTCTGTTGACATACAGCGGGTTTACCCATAAGCAGTCATAAATAATAATATAAACACATCAGCAGGCAATATTTCATTACTTGATTAAACACATTCATTCAACTTCTAGGTGCATTTGCCATCTGAAAACAGCTATTAGACACATGAAGTTGGAAAAACAGACAGAAAATCAATGCCTTAAATTAAAAGCTACAACTTCTAGTAGTTTGATAACAGTAACAAAATAACAGAAGATGACACCTGTCAAAAGTCAGGTAGGTGTTATGATAAAAACAAAGTGTTAAACAGCTAGAATTCCTATATCACTTAATCCAACTTGTCCCATCCTTAGCTTTAGAATGTAAACAATGTTTTCAGCAGTAGGTCCCAGCAATACAGACAGACCTTGAGGAACTGCTGCTGGTGCACTGCACCTTCTCTGAGCAGGGCTGGATAACTGGTATTCACAAAGTTAAAAATGTGACTGTAGGGCTCTGTATTCTTAGTTGAAAGAAATCCCACAATAGCTTGAGGCAATGAAGGCGAAGTCTTGGCCATTATCCAACTCATTTGAGTTGGATGTTTAAAATCAGTGCTAAAGATTCATCCCAAAATTGCATTTCTCTCCACTAAGTACAGAGAGAGTCCAGGGTAACTGGACAAAGACTCCTTCATTGTCACTGCCTGACAGGTGATATTTCCCCCCTCCTAACAGACTGCATAACTCCTAGAACAGGGGAGGCATCATTTCAGAGGCTGGGAGAGCACTGAAGTCAACATTTGAAGCATTCAGACAGGCCAGCAGTAGCGCAGACACTTTTCAACAGAAGCATAAAGTTTCCAGAAGGTGAGTTTGTTTCAAACTCCAACTGTAATGAATTGAAGGATTTCACCTTTGTCTCCTCCCCAGGACACTGCCACTGTCTAGGTCTGCTCAGCTGCCACAAACAGCAGCCTCTCAGAGAGCGTTCAGAGGCTTTCAGCCCATCTCCCAGATGGATTTACAGAAAGTGAGTTTGTAAGCTGCTTTGAATTCAAGAAACAAGCATTTCTTCTATCTACCAGCCAGGACCCTCTAAAAGTGCTCACAAATCTCTTTGCTCTGAAATTCTTCATATAGGTTTTATTTCTCAATTTTGTTTGTTTGCACCTCAGAGACCAACTTTTTTGGGCATTTACAGCACAGCACAGGGTACCAATAAGCAAAATCACATTTTCAAGGTTTCTGGAGAAGAACAGCCACTGGCACAAAGGCAATCACATCCATCACATAACAGAATTCTTAAGATTTCCCTAACTTTGAGCTGGGTCACATCGCATGAGGGAGAAAATGAAGACGTTTCTTTGCAGTTGTCTTCTGCGTCACACTCCCATTCTGAGTAATGTCGAAAACCTTCTGCTTTACAGCAGAGTTATATATAATCAGAAAGTCACATGCAATAACACAGAGCATCAAAGTACACAATAGCCCAGGGAAAATGAGGACATTCAATTGTTATATGAATGCAAAGTTGTTTTTTTTCTTTCTTGAGTTACTGGAATGATAAGTGTACCCTCCCTTTACTGCTTCCATAAAGCACATTTCCCTCAGATCCTGCTGGTTGACTCTGGGGGGTTATAG